CCAGTGACATTAAGTACATTCACAATGTTGTACAACCATCATCACTACATCTCCAGGAGGTTTTCATCCTCCACACTCCCTGTACTTAATAATGCTTCACAGACCACATCTAATAGTGGTGCAGTACTTCACCATAGAGTATTGAGAGCATTTCTCACAAACATTCAACAGGTAACTTATTTTGTGGACCCTATAAGGTAGATTTTAAGGCTAAGGCAGTGAACCAAACATGGTTTTTGCCTTCTGGGACCTTAAATCTGGTGGAGGCAATGGCCGTCTGCAGGCAGTTTGAGTCCTGGAGAGCATGTAACGGGAGAGCCTTGCAGTACAACTTCCATAATCATTTCTTGATTATGGCACATCTCGTGTGTAGCAGATTTCTTTTATAAATCACGCGAGATATTTGTAAGTATAAATATGTGTTCACATTTCAGACTATTTTATGAAGATGGCGAAAAGAAGTGGTATCAGTGGGCTACTCATTGCAAAGGGGCAGTTGGAGGTGTTCTGGAATGCTGGTTAGCGTTACCCACTTGGGTGCCATTCCCAAGATGGGGAGCTGCTGCCCCCAAACATTCTCTTTGCCTTTTACACCTGATGAGCTCTACTAACCTCTTTTTATAAATGTGTATCTAGTTTGCATTGAGCAGGATTGAGGGAAGAACAAAGGAGGGAAGAGACCAGGGATCCTGGCTGAGGTTGACCCCGTGTCACAAGTATCCTGCCAGCGGCCCAGCTGTTTGTACATTTCCAGGCTCGGGTTTGACCCCTGCTTTCGGGCTGTGCTCCAAGTGCATGTTGACTGAGCGTGGCTCCCTTCAGCGAAATTCCAGACGTGGGAATTCGAGGCCCATTGTGAACTAAAAGTAGCCTTTAAAAAACAACAACTATATTTATCATTTGAACAGAAACTCCATCTATTAGAGCAGGAAGAGGCCTCTCAGTGTCACATAATCTTCTCTGTTCAGATGAAGATTCTGAGGCTTACAAAGCTAAGAAATATTCTGAAGGAGACCAGTTGGATAAACATCAAAGAGGGATTAAAACTCATGTCTCTTGATTTATCTGGTGGTCACCCCATGACCTGCCTGAGGTTGTCTTAGCCTCTGTTCTTCTGTTTACAGGAATTCATTTACTTTTTTTCCTTTTTAAATTCCTGATTTTATTCGCTGCTGTTTGGTTCTATGACGGTACTCATTTTCAGTATTGAAGACCATGCTCGTGCTGGCTAATGTCGGTCAGCCGTCATCACATTAGGCCAGTGTGTTGCATGCTGTATTCCATGTTTGTCCTTAGCCTACTAATTTGTTTGACTACTGACTGCTCTCTTTATCTTGGCCCCATTGGTGACTGGAAAGTTTCTGTTGACTGTGGCCAAAGTAACTGGTAATGTCTTATTTTGCTCTCTTTGGGTCAACAGTAATGTTTTATTTTACTCCCTTTGCTCTCTTCATGCTAGTCCCTTTGGGTAATTTTGTTGGGTTTTTGTATTTAAAAAAATAATAATTTTAAGAGGTAAGACACCCTCTTGTGATACAGTAAATGTAAAAACCTGGTCCACGGCCAAAGAGGAAAGAGTTTTTAAGTAGATCATTGATGTTGAGAATAGGAATATTAGCACAGATTTCTGATATATTCATTTCATCAATAGCGGGTAGATAATGGTTAGTTGGTAAAGTTTTATCATGGGTACATGTGACTATCTTTATGTACATGTGCATAAACTATTTTTATGTGTAGTCAATCTTCCTTCAAAGATCAAATTTACAAAAAAAAAAAAAAGTTAGCATTGCTTTGGGTTAGACAAAGTGCCATTATCTTCAGTAGAACTTTATGTCTACACAATGACTCTAAATATAGGACCATAGACCCCTGACAATAATTAGAAAAAAGAACTTAAAAAGCAGAGCACCAGATTTGGACTGATGCTGCCAACCCCAATAGGAAGTGGTTGTCATGAAGTTGGAAAATCCTATAGCTTAGTAAACCTCCAGAAGTGGAACCATTGGGACATAAGGCAGTCTCGTTTATAATTTTCTGAGGAACCTCTATACTATTTTCCACAGTAGATGCACCAATCTGCATTCCCACTAGTAGTGCATGAGGGTTCCCTTTTCTCCACATCTTTGCCAACACTTGTTGTTTGTTGATATATTGATGATAGACATTCTGTCAAGTGTGAGGTGATATAATTCATTATAGTTTTAATTTGCATATCTCCGATGATTAGTGATATTGAACATCTTTTAATATGTCTATTGGCCATCTCTTTGGAAGAATGTCTATTTAGGTTCTTTGACAATTTTTACATTGGGTTGTTAGTGTTTTTCGGTGTTGAGTTGTCTGAGGTCTTCATGAATTTTGGATATTAACCCCTTATCAGTTGTATCATTGGTTCTCCCATTCAGTGGGTTGTCTTTTTATTCTGTTGATGATTTCCTTTGCTGTGCAGAAGCTTTTTAGGGGGAACACTGTGTAAAGTACATAAATGTCTAACCGCTGTACTGTACACCTAAAACTAATACAAAATAATATTGAATAAATAATGGGGAAAAACCTTTTTAAATTTTTAAATTAAAAAATATCAGCAAGTTAAATGAAAACGATGTAAAAAAAAAAAGGAGGGTACAATATTTCTATTAAAATAATCTTATTCACATATTTTTTTTTAAATCACTTGTCCTTTACCTTTATTACAGTTCTAGATTGGCGTAGAGCTTATGCCCTTGGTGGAACTTGCTCTAATTGCTCAAGGCAGAGACCATCCTGCCTTCCTCTAAAAGCAGCCTGAGCTGGCATCTTCAGGTTTTGATCTTCTTTTCCTGTGATTGAATCTTAACCCACTTTTTGATTACAGACTCGTAGGCAAAGTCTGGATTTTAATGTATCTTTGATCGCTAAACTCTCATATTTAAAGGGAAGATTGATTAACTTGTAAAAATCCATAAAGTTTTACAAAGAAAATTTTAACCTTGGACTACCATACTTTTGATGCATTGTATTGTGTTCTGAGACCACGTGTATTAAAGTATAAAATATTAGGCTGGCACATATATTTGGCATATCATTTATTTTTCTGGATGTTTAAACCCTAGTGCCAAGTCTTTTAAAAAAATAAAGTTATTAATATTAATACCCCTTTCTTTCATTAGTTATCAGCAGGAGAAGAAAGCCTTTTGGATATAAGCCAAGCCTTAAAATGGCACTAATAAATAAAGTATCCTGGGCTCTAGTTCTTCACGCTGTGGGATTTGTTAAAATGACCGTAAAATAATAAACGGGGTGAGCAGAAAGGGTCCTGAGTCAGGAAGTAGAAACCTGTTTTAGTCCTGGCTGCCTCCCTTAGCAGGTGACCTGATGTCATCAGAAGCACCATGTGCTTCAAGGAGACCATCTGCATCTTTGCAGACACAGCGGGTTTCTGACCCAGCAAAGTCATGGGTGCTTCTCTCCATGGCGTTAGGTGAATTTTATCCGTGTATTTATTTATATGTTCGGTTAGCTGGCTAGGGATACCGTAACAAAACACTCACAGATTGGGTGATTTAAACAGCAGACATTGATTCTCACATAATTCTTGAAGCTTTAAGTCTAAGGTCAAGGTATTGGCACATTTGGTTTCTTTGGAGGGTTCACTCCTTAGCTTGCAGAAGCCACCTTCTTGCTGTGTCCTCGTAAGGTCTTTCCTGTATGTGCTCATCTCTGGCATATTTGCATGGATTTATATTCCATGTTCTTAAAAGGACACCAGTCAAATTGGATTAGGGCCCGCCCTAACGGCTTCATTTAACCTCATCGCCTCTGTAAAGGCCCTGTCTCCATATAGAGTTGCATTCTGAGGTCCTAGCAGTTAGTGCTTCAAGTTATGAATTCTGAGGAGACCCAACTGAGTCTATAACATCTATTTAAAACAGCATTCTTTGTTTTACATTATATATAAAGAAACTAGGACAAAGGAGAAACCAGAAATAGCCTTCTACCCGCTTAATGCCTGCTATTAAAAGGAGGAGGATATAAGTACACTAAAAGATAATTAAGACTGTACTAAAGGGTATAAAAGGCAACATAATACCCTCCTGGCCCTTCCTTCTCCACTAAGGCAACTTCTTTCAACACCTTTACATGGATGTTTGCTCTACAGGCAGCAGGCAACATTTTTTCCATGCCTTAATGTATCATACAGCATACAGATATCTCTGTATCTGCTCATGCTCTCTGTTGGCCTTCTCTTAAAAGGCTGCATAGTATTCCATTGTGTATGTGCCAGATTTCAATGTAACTAGTCACCTATTCATGGGCAGTTAGGTTGTTTCCAGGTTCCCTCCTCCTGGCTCCTCCCTCCACCGCCGCCTTTGCAAGCAATAGGATTCCTTTTTTAAAACAACCATGATCAAAAGAATAGTGAGGAGCCACCTAATAGAAATAACTAGCCCCCTATTTGGGGGAAGCCAGCCTTTGTGTTTCTCCTCTTGTTTATTGGTCCTTACCAGGGGTGCCATGAAAGGTGTTCCCGGCTTTCCTAGCTCCCCATACCTGACCATATAAGCCGGTGCATACCTCTCCTTCCTGGCTTCCTCGGCGGCATTAGCTCATCTCTATCCAGCACTCCTTCCTCCCAGGGAGGAAAGGTCAGTTCAAATCATTAACAAGCATAGACTATTTTTGTTAAGGAGGACAGCTTTTTTTTTTTTCCCTAAGAATTGCTGTTTCCGTGCCCAGGGCGGCCCATGAACCCTTCCTGGCTGCTTCCGCCCTTTGGAGAGAAGCCAGCTTGCTAATGGAATGTGAGCAGCCTTCCTGCTAATGAAGATTTACAGTTGAGACAGGGATGCCTGGTGCTCCTTGCGTTCGCAGACCCTCCCGGCTAACAGCGCAGCTGTGCGGTGCAGTGCGGTGCAGAGCAGGGCAGCACGGAGGTCCCAGTCCTGGGCGCCCGGCCCTCCCTCCTTCCCCAGGCCCTCCCGCCTCGCCACAGGTTTCGTCTGGCATTGTTTTGCAAGCTGTGCCATGCTACGATGCAGATGTTCTCTGCTGAAGAATTACTTTCATTTCTGACTCGTTTTAGGAAACAAGGCAGTCTGTCAGAGGTGTTTCTTCCTTTCCAGACCCTGCCGAGGGTTCGTTTTCTCCTGGGATTTCTAACCACGTGTGGGCAGCGCTTCTTTTACCCAGATGTGAGGAACAGGAGGAACGAACAGTCCTTTTCTAAAGGAGCCCTGACTTCCCCGTCGAACCCTGTGTGGAGGCCCCGAATTAGCTTGTGCTCTTATTCATGTAAATATTTCTGAGGCTTTGGTTTCATGAGGCCCGTAGACCTGCTGTGTGTACGGGCATCGGTGCATTAAAAGTATAATTTAGCCACAGATTGAAAAGGTAGTCTGGAGTGTTTCTAATTACTATTTGTTTAGCTCACTGTTACCTAATAAGAGGATTTCAGTAACCTTGGAGGTGGGGAATGTAATGTTCATATTGTAGCCAGCCATGCAAATCACATTCTAAGTATTGCAGAGAGCGCACCATGGAGCCAGGTTATAGATGTGTTTAATTGAATGTTAAATTTAGAACCGAGAGTATTTTGGAATGGATTTCTTCTAGCCTGTCACTCAACACCAAGAATTATGCATGTGCCCAAAACCAGCCCTACTGTGTGGTACAACCCCACCCAAAATGCACCAGTGGCCTCTGGCATTCAGTTCATACACATAAGAATTAAATGCTAACTTTTTCCTTTACCGTATTGCATCTATAGCTTTAAGCCATCACATTTCGTTAGCATAGTTGAATTACAGCCTTAGGCTTCTCTGGATTAATATGTTAAAGTCTTTTCAGTTGGTTAAACAAACTATTAATTTCAGGCAAGAATGAGAGAACAAGAACTCAGGAGCGTTCCTTTGCTCCCTTTTCTCATCCCCTTCCAGGGGCCATGACAGGAAACGGAAGTACCAAAAGGGCCTGGAAGAGTGGCTCCCAGCCTTGGATGCACCTCGGAATCAGCCTGGGAACATTAGAGCATACTGATGCCTGGGCCCAAGCCAGAGATTCTGCTTTAATTGTCTGGAATGCAGCCTGCATGGGATATTTAAACTCTCTGCAGAGGAGGCTGTGGGCACTGCTGGTTGAGAGCCACAGACATAGATGTCTGGGACCTAGGAGGTCATTGCATTCGGAGTTCTCAGCTTCAGCTGCAGACGGGTGTTACCTGTAAAGGTTCTTAAAGACACACCCACTGATAGAAACCATATTTCTAGGGGAGGGAGCTCTTAGAGCAGTGGTCAGCAAACTCATTGGTCAACAGAGACAAATATCAACAGTATAACAATTGAAATTTCTTTTGAGAGCCAAATATTTTAAACTTAAAGTTTCTTCTAACACCACTTCTTCAAGATAGACTTGCCCAGGCCATGGTATTTTGTGGAAGAGCCACACTCAAGGGGCCAAAAAGCTGCATGTGGCTCTCGAGCCACAGTTTGCTGACCACTGTCCTAGATGATTGTTAGAAAGCTTCTAGATGATTCTTATGTACGGCAAGGGTTAAGGTCAACTGACATATCTAACCATCCCATCTCACAGGAAAAAAAAAATGAGAGCAAGGGCGACCACATGGTTTGCTCAGGTTGTTGTGGTGGCAGGCCTGGGGCTCGGGCCTGGGGCTCAGGTCTGAGGCCTCCAGCTGGTCTTGCTGCTGCTGACACTGCCTCCTTGTATATTGATTAATGCCTCCTCATCCTTCAGGTGACGTTCCCGCCTCCAAAAGGCCTTTTCTGAGAACTCAGACTCCCCCATCCGGTCTGGGTAAGATGCCCTCTCTATTTGAACTGCACCCTTCCTTATCTGTCCCTGGTGTTGGTCACTTCCTGAATCTCTCTTGTTTTTTCTGGAACTTGCTTGCATGTCACTGAGTCCCAGACACTGCTTGTTGTATTGAAGTTCCCTAACTTTTATTCATCAATGAGTCCACATGGATTGCTTTAAAAAATCCATCCCCATATGCTAGCTTCTAAAAACAAAAGTTATTTTTTACCTGTCAACAGCCCACTGTACTGTGGGTCAAGGTCTCATACCCAAGGACTTCCTATCCCTGCCTTCCAGGAGAGGGCTTTTTGGCAAAAAATATGCCGATCAAAGGGTTTTGGTGACAAAATAATGAAAAGATTTCACTCACTTTATGTGTTGCTCAAAATACAACAACCAGGATCTTTAGAGTAACATACACTGTGTATGTCATAAACAAAAAGGAGCATGTGGCATTACTTTAGGATGAAAATGTGTCTGAGGCCGGGACCGGTTTAGCTCAATGGATAGAGCGTCGGCTTGGGGACTGAAGGGACCCGGGTTCGATTCCAGTCAAGGGCATGTACCTTGGTTGCGGGCATATCCCCAGTGGGGGGTGTGCAGGAGGCAACTGATCGATGACTCTCTCTCATTGATGTTTCTAACTCTCTATCTCTATCCCTTCCTCTCTGTACAAAATCAATAAAATATATTTAAAAAAAAAAAAAAAAAAAAAAAAAAAAAAAGAAAATGTGTCTGAGGAAAAATAATGCAATGTCATGAAAATATGTGTTAAGGACTAAATTATTTCCTATACTTTAGTGCATATATCACTGAGCAGCCACGTTTAGTTAGCATAGTAGAATTAAATCCTTGGGTTTCTCTGGATTAACATGATAAAGTATTTTCAATTGAGTTTAAAAAACTATGAATCTTTCATCCTAGTTTACCCAAGGTTATGCTTGACCAGAGTCTAATTTTTATTTGAAAAGTATGTTTTGGATGTGCAGTATTTATGGTTACTTTTGTAGCTGGAACAGAGTTTTGTCTCAGAAAGCAGATTGCAGCCAATATCTCTTCACTTTACAGGTGGCCAGCAGGCTCCACAGAGGGGTCACCGGAAGTGGCTGTTTTCTCATTTGGAGAATTCAGAGTTAAAAGTTTTTGGAGCCAAGACTGCAAACTGGGCAGTATTGTAGGGTAGATGTCTAAGATGTTGCAGACAGGAGAGAATGATGCCCAGAGTGTGTGAGAGCATCGTGAAGTCTTTATGTAGGTTCATGCTTTATAATTGGGAGTCTTTATGTCCCAGGCAAGTGGCACATGCAAAGCCACCATTGTATTAAAGGGTCTCAACATTAAAAAGGTTGAGAACCACTGACCTAAGACCTTTTGGCAAAGGTTTATAGAAGTTTTTTTCATACTAGTTAAAACCTGGAAACAGCTCAAGTGTTTGTCAGCTGGCAAATGGATAAACTGTGGTACCTTCATGCTCGAGAACATTGTTTCCCAAATATAGGTAAAATTGTATACTTAAGTATATAAGTATACAATTTTACCTATATGTTCCCAAAAATTCTAGTTTAGCACTTCTTAGTTGGGATTCAGGAATCCGTATTTTAACAACTCCACCAGGTGATTCTCATCATGAGAGAAGTTTGGGAAACACTGTTCTAGAACACTATTCAGGAACACAAAGGAACAAGTTCCTGATCCAGGCAACTCCAGGGACAAATCTCAGAAGCATTATGCTAAGTAAAAGAAGCCAGAAGCGTTCCATGTGGTTCCATTTACAGGACTTTCTAAAAAGCCAAAACTGGAGACACAGAAATCAGATCATTTCTCGCCAAGAACCGGAAGTGGGTGGAGTTGACTGTGCAGGGGCGAGAGGGAGCATTGGGGGGTAATGGAAAGACTCTCCACTGCGGTGGAGCTCATGTGATTGTATATATTTGTCAAAATACATCAAACTTAAAATGAGTAGATTTTCGCTCTTTATGAGTTAAACCCCAGTAGGTCTGATTCTTTTAAAGTCAGATGCTGCCATATGAACTTTAAAAGAATGGTGGCAGGAAAAGGGGTGAGACACAATGGATAATCAGGAACTGTAGCTGCTCTTTGGTTCCAGTGATTGTATAAGATGGAAGGAATGGTTTCATTCATCATTCTCCCACTGGCTGTGAGTTAGAAAAATGTAGTGTCCTGTGAAATAGTTCTGTCCTGCCCTAACATATGTGACTCTCTGCTGTGAAGATAGGTCTGCGTCCCATTGCGGAAGCCTACCCATTCGGAGCTGTCTCTGTTTTACAGGCGCAAAGCTCCCCTGGGTTGCTTCCTGGGAGAATCCCAAAGGAGGGCTTGCCACGTGGTAAGGCATTTGTGGAAACAGGCCGTTAGTGTTCTAGATGAGCTGAGGGTTCCTTTTCCAGATTACTAAGTAGTCTGGGTACACTTATGAGTAAGGGATGTTATCTCGGTGCATTGTTCATTCATCATGAATCATAGGGACCCTTGGCACTTCCTCATGGAGCTCATGTCCATCTCAGCAGCTCCCTCCTTCCCCAAATCCTTTTTTCACTTGGCATCTGTGATGCTACTCCATCTTGATTCTGCTTACCACTCTCTTTTTTTTTTGTTTCTGAGTCTCCCCTGTTGGATCCTCCTCTTCCCATTCCTGGCCTGTACATGTTCCTGGAAGTGCTGTGAGCTTTGTTCTCTGACCTTTTCCCAATCTCAGCTCATTCTTGAGATCATCTCATTCATTTGCAGGGCCTGAAATACCATCTGTATGCTGATGACCTCCACTTGGTTGCCTAATAGGACATCTCAAATGTAACGTGTCCGAAAGCAGCTTCTTGAGTTGTTTTCTAAATCTACACTCGCTCCATGGCTCCTCATCTCAGCAGCATGAATGGACACGGGCCAAATAAACCAGGCATGCAGCCCACAGCCAACTCCACCCAGTTGCTCTGTCCAGAAACCTGAAACCTGAAACCATCCTAGATTCCTGCCTTGCTCCCACACTCACGTTTGATCCATTAGCATATATCCTCAATCCAAGCACTTCTAATTTCCCCCCTCCACCCCTTCATCTGAGCCCAGGCCACCCCCGAGTCTTCCTAGAACTTCTGCAAAGGCTTCCTAAGCCATCTTCCTGTCTCTATCTGTGTGTACCACATGGTCTGAGTTCACACAATCATCACAGAGATTATTCTGTTTTATACTTTTATACTACTTGCAGTGGCTTCTCTACAATCAATATAGTATCCAAACTCTTAGTCATGTCCTGTAAGGCACCTGCTACCTCTCTGCCCAACAACTGAAGGAATAAGTGAATTAGTGCTCTGGTACCTTAACATTAAAAACTAAAGAACCAAACATCTTCCTGGACCCTCATATACCTCTCTATTTTTCACCCAATTTTACTGTTCTCTTTTAAGGCAGAATTTATCAAGTGTTATCTGGAGGTACTATAGCTATTTATTATTCACTTACTCTTTCCCCAACACTTTTGTGAAATTCCTCAGGTTTATGTGTTGCTGCTACCAATAGATATAGTTCTGTCCTGTCTTACTGGGTCTCTGAGCAGCTATAAGAACAATTTGCCATTACATTTGAAATTCCCTTCTAACTTAGCTTCCCCTTTCCCAAGTAGTCATTCCTTGATCCTTTCCTGCCATTTCCTTTATTTTGGGTCCTCAGTTTTTAGAGTTGTTGTGTGGCTTAGGCCTTCTTTTCTCTCTACACACTCATCTATTCCCAGGCCTTTTGATACTATTAATGAGCTGATGGCTTCCCATTGTTTATGTACAACACTGACCTCTTCTGAGCTCCAGACCCCACATCTGACTGCCTCCTTGACATCTCTTTGGATGTCTCATGCCCAAGGAAGAACTCTTTAAAAAAATTATTTTTAATTTTTCAACTATAGTTGATATATAATGTATTAGTTTTAGGTGTACAACATACTAATTAGACATTTACACAACTTATGAAATGATCACCCTGACAGGTCTAGTATACATCTGACATAGTGCATAATTATATTATACACCATATTCCTTACGCTGTACTTTACATTCCCATGACTATATTTTTGCAACTGGCAATTTGTACATGTCAATCCTCAGGAAGGAACTCTTGGTTCACTTCTATGTTCAGTCTACCTGAACCTGGCTTTCCACATCCTGTCTTTGCTATCTCAGTCAGTGCTATCACCCTCCTCCCAATATCCAGTGTCAGAATCCTGGGTGTCATTTTTAGTTTCATCTTCATTGTCCCCCTTTCCCAGCACTTTCGGTTCTACCTTCAAAGTACATTTTGGCCCCGGTATGTGCGGCTCAGTTGGCTGGAGTATCATCTCATACAACAAAAGGTTTGCTGATTTGATTCCCAGTCAGGAGACATACCCAGGTTGTGGGTTCAGTTCTTTTCATGGTGTATATAGGAGACAACCAGTCGAAGTTGCTCTCTCATGTCAGTGTTTTTCTGCCTCCCTCACCCTCTCCCTTTCTAAAATCAATAAAATGTTTCTTTGGGTAAGGATTCACACACACACACACACACACACACACACATGCACGCACACACACATATCTTAGGCCAACATTGTTGCCTGGACCTCAACAGTATCAAGTAACAGGTCTGTTGTCTCTGCTCTGGCACAGCAGAGTGCTCTGCCATGTTATAGTACCAGATGCTGCTTACATGTGGTGGAATGTGGCTCCTGTCTCCTCTTCAGCCTGGTTTTGTTCCTAGCCTCTTGTCTCTTCATTACTTCTCAATCACATTAACCCACTCCCCTTTTTTATTTTAGGTAGAGAGGGAGGGAATGAGGGAGAGAGAGAGATTGATTGATTTGTTGTTTAACTTATTTATACATCCATCGGTTGATTCTTGTTTGTGCCCTGATGTGGGATCAAACCTACAACTTTGTCATCTCTGGACGACACTCTAACCAACTGAGCTACCCAGCCAGGGACACTGAACTCTTTTGGTCCTATCCTTGAGCACACCAGGAT